TTAGTTGATCATTTAAGACCAAGTTAGGCACCCAGGTCTCCTTATTCTTGATGTACTGATGTCCTTATTAATACCTGGCTGGATGTCTTTTACCATATCATATACTGTATATACTTGAGAATAAGCCAACCCGAATATCAGCCGAGGTACCTAATTTTACCACAAAAACTACATAAACTATGTACTGAAAAACTCAGTTTATACACGAGTATATGCAGTATTCAGTGCTTTGCCAAAATCCACACTCTAATTTGAAATACGCTACCATAAACGACATCCGAAAATAAAAATATAACTAACGTTTCTTTTACAGTGAAATTTTGAGAGCTAAGATTTGACAGGACTGCCTTATTTTTCTTGATCTAACAAGTTTTCTACCTTTGACAAGATGAAATCTTACCGTTTTCTGTCACTTGTTTTAGTGGAAAATATTTGTTTTTCTTCTTTGCCGGGTTTCTGCCTTACACAGTTTCTAGATTTCTCATATTTTCCCGTACATATGTGGAAAGATGGCACACTCTTATTTCCATCTAGTGTCTAAGCCAGGATTTTCTTTCTGTATATATGTGTTAGTAATTATAACATAGTTCTGAAGCCAAGCAGACATCTGCTTCTTATAATAGTATGCCATGGATAATGTTTCTTAAAGTACATTTATCACTAACTGTTTTTATGGGATGAAAACTAACTATCCAGGACATGATGAAGTTTCAAAGCTGAACAGTTTCAATGCTCAGGAACTGTGTCTCAGTACCATTACAAGGCTGTTGTGTCTAGCTTTGTCTTCACTGGAGCTTATTTATTAGGCTTTGACGTTGTTGAGATCTAATGTATAGGAGAACCCCCAAAGACGTAATACCAGAAAAAGAGACTCGGAACTCTGGCCTACTTCATCGTATTTCTACACTCTTTAATTGACTACAAATATCTACTTGTCTGTGTGATTGGCTCTGATTACTTGTGTATTGCCTCTTTGCTGCTGTTCTAGGTGTTCTTGACTGTGTTCATACGCATAGCAAATTTATGAACAAGAGTATGAAATGTCGCTCAGTCCTGCACCATCCTCACAATTGTTGATGTCTTTAAGCCCCTTGTTGGAACCATTGTGTCACCTATTTTCCTCCTTTGGATGACCCAATTAAATTAATGCTCATACGTTCTTAGATTCAACTTAGTGTTCTGTAAGATTCTATTTATGCCTCTCTGCGAACCTGGCTCCTGAAGTCCTGACTGAGAGGTTTTAACTGATGAGAAAACTAAAGTAAGAAATGGTCCACGACCACATATGAGAAACCGATGCCAGTTTTTTTCTAGGGAAATCAAGCTTCTTCCCAAGAACATGTCAGTTTGGCTGTGTGACCTCAGAGAACTCAGCAGCAGCTCTGTTTGAACGCTGGGATCTGAGAAATGGAGGCAGTGGAACCTGTAAGAAAGACTACTGGAGAGGCTTAGCTATGGGCTTAAACCCTCGCCCCCACTCTCACCCCTTCCCAGCCTCTCCCTCTACGGTAACTCTCTGATCCCTGATCCAGTGCTCCTTACCAGCAAAATAGATGCTTAACAGCAGGAACAGTTATTTTCTCAGGTATTCCAGATACTTCCACTTGTTTTCAACAAGTACTGATAACACCAGAAGCAGCATTTTTTTTATGTTATTGCAGCATTTCTGGTTCGGTTTCTGAATCAGAGAGGAAGGGGAAAAAAAGAAAAAGAAGGAGGGGGACAAAGAGGGGCAGGTGAAATTGACCTCCATTTGTTTTTCACCCAAAAGGTTGGAATCTTCAGGGGGAATTGTCTCCATCTTGTTTCTAATCTGAGCACAGTGCATTTGCATTCTTTATCTTATGCAACCACCTCAGATTTGTCAGTCTCCCTTCTCTTCCTCAGCATCTTGACCTACCCACCTCTCGAACATGTCTGAGCAGCACTGTGGAGAAGCCTGTTACTGTGCTGCCTGCAAACCCATGAGGCAGTCTTTCAAAAGAATCCAGGTTAAAGAGAAATGATGGCAGAATCCTGTCTTGATCTGACCTCTTCCCAATGTCCACAGTCCCAGTAAGCTTTACCTGGACCCACTGCTTATCAGATGGGGCAGGAAGATGATAGGACGTCAAGTGTGTGAACACTGCCCCACAGGGTGAGCCTGGGATCGTTGGCATATCACTATCTCCATCAACAGTGGAACAGACTTGGGAATTAGTTGAATCCTTCCTATGTAGCCTGAGCATTAGCTAATGGGGAAGAAGTCCTGGTGGCCCCTTGGTTCAGTTCCAGGCCGCTAACCAAAAGGCCAGCAGTTTGAACCCACTAGCCTCTTTTTAGGAGAAAAATGTGACAGTGGTTTGCTATGAGAATTTACAGCCTTGTTTACACTATGGAGCAGTTCTACACTGTTGTGTTGAGCCACTATGAATTTGAATCGACCGTAGAGCGATGGGTTTGGTTTGGGGTCTGGTGGTGCTGTAGGTTAGAAGTAAGGCTGCTCACCATGAGATCTGTATTTCAAACCTACTACCTACTATGTAGAAGAAAGATGAGGATGGTCTGTTAGGATCACTGTGAGAAGCTGGAAGGAATCTAGGTGGTGTAGTGGCTACACATTGGGTTACTAAGTCAAGGTCAGCATTTTGAAACCACTAGCCACTCTTAATGATAGATCCACCCCACTCTCTTGATCTCAGTGATCCAACTAGTGTGCTGCTGCTTTCACTAGTTCTCTGCCTCAACCTGTGAGCTACACTATCTGTGGCCAAGCCAACCCATGGTTCCTGTCGCTAGAGCTTGAGGCTCCTTCGAGATCTGCTTTGCCACACTGCTTGTTTGTGCATCACTTGAGCTTGAGCCTGGTGGATCCTGTTGCCTTGCATTGCTTGAGTTAGATATCCCATCTGTGTCTGGTTCACTAAGCTCCCAAGCTACTGCCTACTGCTTACCACTCTGCTGTTTGCTGCCTGTGGGCACACTCTGTTTGCATTGCCCAAGGGAGGACTCTGCTGTCTCCTTCCTTGACCTTGGACCTGGGAGCTCTCATGAGCTGAACTTTCAGTATATTAACTGTTCCACAGAAATGAGTTGGACTGCGCCCTCTGTACTGCTGTGTGGACTAATTAGCTCTTACATTCCTTCTTACTGTATAAACCTATCCTCATAATTATTTTTTTAAAAGATTATACTTATGTGCTTAACCCCTTGTCTTAAGCTGTAATTCTAGGAGCATCATCTTATTATTTTTGTCCATGCTGTATAATCCTAGATTCCTATATATCAAGAGGAAAATTAGAAAGAAATGATTAGAAATAATGCTAGATCAAAAGGAATATATGAAATGTTCATGTTTGCAAAGTTAATCATGGAATAGTGAACTTTGGTTGGGTATGCTTGCTTCTTTCAATTGTATATGATGTTTTCATCATAATAACTACATGTATACCATATTTTAAAAAATGATTTATAGTCTTCTCTGATTCTCATAACAAACAATCCTATAAAGTTAGGTTGAATTATTCCAGAATATTGAAAGAACTGCTAAAGACTGAATAACTAAACTTATAAAAATTAGAGTAATCTGCATAAGGTGTAACTGATAGAAGGGGGCAAGACTGGAGTTTGTGTTTTATGAAGACACAGTACTGACACTGAAAAAAAAGTCTCCGTAGTTTATGTGTATTTAATCATTTATTTAGCAAGCTATGATCAAAGATTATTACATAACAAAAACAAAAATATATGGATTGGGTAGGTTTTCACTCATTTGCTCACTATCATCAAGTTAGTTCCAACTCATAGTGATCCTATACCGCAGTGGTTCTCAATCTTCCTAATGCCGCGACCCTCTAATACAGTTCCTCATGTTGTGGTGATACTCCACCCCCAACCATGAAATTGTTTTCGTTGCTACTTTATAACTGTAGTTTTGCTACTGTTATGAATGGGTCAACTCCCCAAAGGCGTCAGCACCCACAGGTTAGAACCACTGCTATACAGGGTAGAACTACTCCTATAGGTTTCTGAGACTGTAACTCTACAGGAGGAAAAAGCCTAGTTTTTCTCCTGTTGGCTGTGCCTAGCATGTAGTAAATGCTAATGACTTTATGCTAAATTGATCTGCTTAAAAAAGATGCTTTACAGATTTACAGAAATGCGTATATCCTTTTTCTAGCTTCTCCTGATTTTAGTACCTTATATGACTAAAATTCAGTGATCAAAACCTAGAAATGAGCTTTATAGTAGTATTGATTTCACACTTGTAATTAGTAGAAGAAACCAAATAAAGGTAAACCAATACTTCCGTGTGTACTTATCTGTAATTATAGAATAGGGTCTTACTGAAAAATTATTGTTTAAACAGGAGAATAATAAAAAAACATAATTCATAAACTCCATTTATATTTTCCTGCCAATAAACTTCTTGGTCTTGAACTATAGTATACATACTTAATTTGAAAGCAACTTATGAAATACTCCTAATAGAGGTAACCAGATTAATTATAAAGGTGTATGTATCTTGTTCCAGTTTCTCCTTGTCTAGCTCAGCTATGTATTTTAACATTACTGTTCTCGTAAGAAAAACCTGGCAACTTGATAGCTTCTTTCTATCAAATGTTTTCACCTTCACTAACATACCTTTTCAGTTTATTTCTAGTTTGGTATCTATGGGTTGGTAAATAAGATTAATTGGGATGATATTTATTTTATTTAAGGAACTTGTTGGCATGGTGGGTTATACACTGGCCCGCTAACCGAAATTTCAGTTCAAAACCACCAAGCATTCCACAGGAATAAGACGGGGTTTTCTAGTCCTATCACAAGTTACAGTCTCGGAAACTGACAGGGGCATTTCTATCCTATACTTTAGGGTTACTATGATTCGAATGGACCCAAAGGCAGTTAATGTATAGTAAGGATAATCATACTGATTATAACATGAGAATTATAACTCTTCTATTCATGATAAATGCTATAAGCATGAGTATATTTTATAAATGAAAACAAATTTTTAATTACTTGATATTTTGTGGTTTAAGAATAATACTTGAAAATGATCTTATGCATGAAAATACAGAGGGTGATATTTCTCTTATTTTAATGTAATTGTTTTCAAAATGAAGATGCTCCAGAGTTGAATCACCATCTTCTTCAGCTTTGCAAATTTGTTCTGGAAGGATATTCCTAAGGAAAAATATACATGGTCACCAGTGGTCCAAATAATAATTTGCCTTTATAATTTAAAAGTTTCAAATTTTATATGTTTTGAATAAAAGCTTTAATTCTTAGATAAATTTGAATTTTTTCTCAGGTTATATATCAACTCAATTCCAAGTATTTCAGTAATCAAAATGTGAATAATAAAACCATAAGAGTACTAGAATAAAGCATAATTCTGAAGCACTAAAATAAATAAATTAAATCGATTGTGGGTAAAAATATATATTCAAAGCTAAAAGACAAATGAGACACTGGGAGAAAGTATTTATAGATTATAGTACAGATAGCTAATATACTCCTAAAAATTTAGGAGGAAGACTTCTGATAAGATGGTGGATGAGGCAGCCATGATATACAGACCCTCTAAAACAATCATAAAAGAGAACTAATGAAACAAATATAGATGATAATCCTGAAACCCTGAGCTTCAGAGGAAAGGCTAGAGAAAAGGATTAAATATTGACTAGGAGAAGCTAAGCAAAAGTGGTGAAAGAGGACACAGAATGGTGAATTTTGGCTACATTAAGCAGTATGGCCATCTTGAACTGTTGCAAGCAGCATTCCTTCCAGACAATGGCCTGGCACACTGGGGATTAGTGACAAGAAAAGTGGAATTCTTCCTTGTTCTGCTCACTCTCCCAATAACCAGAAGTGTAGTCAATTATTCCCCCCTCATCTTTCTAGCCGCTAATGCTACCACCCACCCTTAACTCTTGCTCTGCCTGAAGTCACTCTCATGAATCAGGCACCAGTGGACCACTGTACTCCAGCTTTGAGTGCTTGAACTCCCTTCATCGGACTAGCAGAACTCTCAGTGCTGGGGCCCTGGCCAAACCTGGAAAAAACAGGAACTCTTTTCATAACTAATCACCCTGCACCCAGATGCCCTCTATGCCCAAAATAATTCCTTCCATGAACAATCACCCTGACATTATCCATCGTTTGATCCACTACGGACTACTTCTGGATCAGGTACTCTGATCCCAAACAATATAAGCCTGTAGGATCGCCATTTAGAACTGGTGTTCCACTTTATCCTGCCCTGCACAATGAGCTTATGAGTGAAGAGGGAGCCAGCCCGTACTGAATGCGCGCATGCACGAGCACGCACGCGCGCGCGCACACACACACACACACACACACACACACACACATTTATCCTTTTCTTTCCTCCTCATAATTTTCTTCCTTTTGTTTCTCCATTTTCTTCGCTTTTTTCTTTCCTTTTCTCCTTGTCCTAAATTTGTTTATTATATTTCTGTCTTTGTTTATTCTTTTTCTCTACCTTTGTTTATCCTTCTTAGTTATGAAGTTTTTTTCCCCCTTGCTTCTGTTTTACCTCCTTTCCTCGCTTGGTTTCAAAAGAATGTTTGTTTGGTTTTTTATTGTTTGCTTGGAGCTTTTGTCTTTTTTTCTTTTTTTCATGGGAAGGCAGCAACTACTTGCACGTGGCCCGGCTACATCTGTCCTCTTCTAGCCATATCTACTGGATAAGGTCCAATACCTACTCCTGTGTCGCCTGAGTCCTGAGAGTGAAAAACACCAACTTTTAACTGTGCTACACAGATAACACACAGAACAACTCACATATGTGCATTCTCTATTACACTCACTAGGAGACAAGTGGTGAGGGGCTAAGATCTCACTGACATAAAATCAGCAATTAAATATAATCAGCAGAATTTCTTGGGGACAATAAACCATTTCAATTTAGTCAAAGAAATAAGACAGAGTGGCTCAAATAAATGACCAGTATGAAGAGCAGGAAGGCCTTTCCTGGAAAGAAAAGACGTTGGAGGTACCCGGTAGGGAAATTCTTTAATTGAAAAAATATTCCTTTAGTGGATTGAAAGAAAGATTGATGAGACCAAGAAAAACATGGGAGAACATTAGAATAATTCAAGAAAGCATTATACTACTAGTACAAACTGACCAAATGAATTGAAAATGAGAAACCAAGCAAAAGCAGCAAATATAAATTCGAACAAGAATAAGATTTCAGAAATGGATAATACATTGAAAGAGCTAAGGAGTAAAATTAAATCAGTGGAAGGTTAACTTAATGAGCTTTAAGATAAATCCCTCTAATAATATTCTATAGGAACAATAAAATTATTTTTTAAAAGAACAAAAAATCTGATGAAAGCCTAATTATTATATAGGTCACCATTGAGAGGAATAACTTATGCGTGATTGGAATTCCAGAACAGGAAGAAACCAATAAAGCCCACAGAGAAATTCCTTCACATCATGAAGATGAGAAGATGTGCTGAGCTTGTTCTTCCTTTGTGGTTTTCTAATTCTAGATCTTTGCACATGTCCTTGGCTTTGTCTTGAGCTTCCGTTTGAAATGTTCTGTTCAGTTCTTTGACTTCTTCCTTTCTTCAATTTGCCTGAGCTACTCTCTGATGAGGAGCAAGTTTCAGAGTCTCTTCTGTCATCCACTTTGATCCTTTCTTTTCTGTGTGGTTTTTTTTTAACCTTTTGCTTTCTTCGTGAGTGATGGTCTTAATGTCCTCCAACAGCTTATCATGTTTTCTGTCATGATTGTTCATCGCATCAAATATGTTCTTGAGATGTTCTTGAAATTCAGATGGGGTAGACTGAAGGTCATATTTTGGCTTGTGACTTGTTTGAATTTTCTTCAGCTTTATCCTGAACTTACATTTGAGCAATTGATGACCTTTTGTACAGTCAAGCCCTGGCTTGGTTTTAGCCGCTGATATTGAGCTTCTCCATTGCCTCTTTTCACAGATATAGTCAATTTGACTTCTGTATATTCCATCTAAAGAAATCTATTTGTTTTGTTGAAAAAAGGCATTTGCTATGAACAAGTCATTTGTCTTACAAAATTCTATCATACAATCTCCAGCTTTGTTTCTGTCACCCAGTGCATATTTTCCAACTACTGTGCCTTCCTTTTGCTTTCAACTTTTGCATTCCAATTGCCAGTAATTTTCAAAGCATCTTGATTGCATGTTGAATAAATTCCCCACTGAAGTCATTGATAGAATTCCTTAGCTGCCACATGGGAAACTGACCACCTCTATTAAGGTATTTTAACAAGGGGGTGCAGGAGAAAGATGGGGCTTTCTACTCCCATAAAGGGTTACAGTCTCCTATTTTACAGGAGCAGTTCTACCCTTCCCTATCGGGTCGTTGGTATCTACTTGGTGGCAGTGAGTATGGTTTTGTTTGTAACAGGGGATGATATAGAACAATTACTTCTTATGACATGACCCTTTCAGGTACTTGTCCTCATGAGGAGATCACTGAAGTCATGGGTGCCAAGCAAGATCTGTTGGAGAAATTAGATGGTAGCCCACTATCATCTGGAGTTTTAAAGATTTTGTTTCAAAATAAGCAACCACCTAAGTGAGAAGTTAGCTAAGTTCACACAGAAGAAGCACACCAACCTTTATGAACCAAGGATTGAATAAAATGATTTTAAAAAGAACCAGTAACTCTCTCCACCTAATTCACAATTAAAAATTCATTAAAAAACATATGCATAGTGCAATCATTAAAACATTTTTTTTAATGAAACAAGGATTTTAAATGATACGATCCAAACCCAGAGGAGGGAACAATACCAATATCTAAATTCTAAACACTTGGTTTGCAGAAATCTATGAATAGTAGCCCAAAATGCATTTGTAGGTTCATGTATTGAGTCCCTGGTGAATCCTCGGTTCACTTACTCTAGGAACATTAGCAGCCCTAATATCAGACAAAGCATTGTAACAAGAATTTTAGTAGCTATATTTAGCCAGGATATAACACTCTGAAATTTGATTACCCTGGAGACCCAAAGTGAATTTATTCTAAAATTTTAATATTTTCTATTTTCCCTTAGATTGAGTTCTTTACCTTTTTAAATAGTCATTTTGCTGGGTCGTTGTATGTTTTTTGCCATTGTTTTGTATGATTATCTGTGTTGGGAAATTAAGACAGCAGCTGGATTAATGATTACCTGGAGGCATGGAAAGTGAGGGTGAAACAAATGGGTAGTACGAGATAAAAGAAAAGGATCCAAAGGGGATTTTGGCAATGATGGCACAACTTCCTTCTTGATGTGATTGAACGACTGAATTGTATGATATGTTTATAGTTCAATAAAACTAAAAAAAATAAATAAATATATTTGTTTATCAAGGATATAATTAGCCTACAGGCTGGGAAAATTTTTCATGAATGATATATCCAATAAGGGTTTAATATCTAAAATATATACATAATTCCATGACAAATGATAAATAAAACTCAATTTAAAAGTTGACAATGGAACTTAGTAGACACTTCACTAGAGGATATTTAAGTAGCAAAAAAAACCAACAACATGATACTTATCATTAGCCATCAGAGAAATGCAAATCAAAATTACAGTGACATACCATTTCACCATTATCAGAATGATGTTGATTAAAACTAAAAAGCCAAAACAGAAAACAACATATTTTTTAGGAAACAGGATGATCAAAAACCCGTATTCATTGCTGGTGGGAATTTAAAATGCTTTATCCTTTATGGAAAATAATCTTGCGGTTCCTAAACAAGCTAGAGGTAGAGCTGGCAAATGATTAAGTAATTCCACTGCTAAGTATATACCCCAGGGATCTAATAAAAGTGACATGAAAAGGCATATGTAGATCTATATTCATTACAGCACTATTCACAATACCGAAGAAGTAGAAACAACCTAGGAGTCCCTCATAAGATAAACAAACAAAATGTGATACTCACATATAATGGAATACTACTCAGCTATAAAATAAAGCCTGATACATGCTGTGACATGTATACTCACTACCATCAAGTTAATGCTGGTTCTATGGACCCCCTGTGGGTTTCAGAGACTGTAACTGCTTATGGAAGTAAAAAGTCCATTCTTTCTCCTGCGGAGCTTCTGGTGCTTTCAACTGCTGACCATGCGGATCCCTGCCCAACCCTTAACTGCTACACCA